CTTCGCATAGTATATGCAAGTATCTGTGATTTAAATTAATGAAAAAATGTTACATTTGGTTTTGGTCTCCTCACAATAATACAACCTCACTACTGTTAATAATACTGCTGTATATTTGAAGATGTCTGTTAAGTGTTCCAGGTGAGGAAAGAAAGGGAGATGACCTTGACTGGTGCTATATGAGATTTACTTGCAATAACCTTTAAATTAATCTATCTCTTTTGAATTTAATTTGGATGTGTGTGTGTTTACAAATGATACAAAAACAAAATTCATCCACTCTGGTGTGATTGCAACCACACACATACACACTCACACAACAAGGATTCTTCTCAATAAGCCATATTTGTAGAATGACTTGTTTTACTGATTATACACGGACTAAAATTTCTAAAGCATCGCACAGTCTTATTATGACGCTTAAACCATCTCCTTTTGTATAAAAATAAAATTGAAGGTAAGAAAATTTTTAAATATGAAACAATCTAAGGGTTTCCGGCTACCAGCTTAAGCTTTTATACATAAGTCGTACATTGTCGAAAAGAAGCTTTCTTGCTCTGTCGATGTTGAACTTCATTTCATTTTGTGTCATTCCGCAAGTGTCTAACATATTTTATAACTGGCATTGTAACTCGTGTACAGTGTCGAAATCTTCTGAACTCGACTCTGTATCATCTATGCATATACCATGTAGAGCTATTTTTAAAATTGACAAAAATTAGGATGCTTCATCCGGGAGCTAACTATTCGAAAAGTTAAATGGCTAGGAAAGAGACACTGGGGGTCCCATACGTCCCCTTTCTAGATGGATCTATGTGGATTTGCCGAAGTCATTTGGATGTCAATGGAGAAAGCATATTTATTTCAGCGAAATTGTGTCCCGGATTAAAAGATGCCTTCCTTCACCTCACCTTTCAAAAGTAGGTAATTTAGATTAAATGAGGTAGTAGAAGCAGGAGCCTTAAAAACAACCCGTAATTTGGTAGCTGTTTCATCAGACCGGAATCTTCCATTTTTGCTAAGTGATCCAAGTAAAGATCGATGAATAAATTCCTAATATAGTTTTCCCATTTGAGTAAGCTAATTTTTTACAAAGATAATCTAGTCTCTTAATTGCTAAATATTTGGAATGTGAGTCGTATGTTTTGTATGTTTTTGTGACATTTGTACAATTTATCGACCTGTTTCATTGTGCGTATGAGTTATTTTGATGATGATTTCCTCAGTATTCTTCTTCCTTACATAATGGTTTCCGTGACCTTCATAACTCCTATTTTCCGTAATTTTTGTAAGTTAATTAATTACCTTTGTCATCAAAGAGAGAGAGAGGTTGGCATTTGCGAAATGAAACCGCAATATTGACTTTGCTTGGATAAAATTTGTGT